CGCGCCCCTGGGAGCGAGGAGGAGGAGGGAGCGAGAATGATGATGATAATGATAATGATAATGATAATGATGATGATGCTGCTGATGATGATGATGATTATGATGATGATGATGATGCTGATGATGATGATGATGAGGAGGAGGAGGAGGAGGAGGAGGAGGAGGAGCAGGAGCAGAAGGAGGAGGAGGAGGAGGAGGAGGGTACCCAGACAGGATCGCGTCGCAGAAAAGCAGGACGGGAGGCTTTGGGCCGTTTTCGGCCGGGGGGGCCCTCGCCGGGCCTCGGGACCGTCAAAGAAACACGACTCAGGATGGAAACCAGTCCCGGGGAAAGGGTCGGGTCTTCTGGGGACCCCGTATTGAAAATCAGGACGTCGCGTGTCTGGGGACGGAGGGTATTGGCTATAGTTAATCCCAAGGGGAAGAATCGGCACAACGGCCGCGAAGAGAGCGAGAGAGAGAGAGAGGGAGGGAGAGAGAGAAAGAGAGCTCGATCCTCCACCTGGGGGACCTCGCAGAGTGTGGCCTCCGCGCCACCTCCCGTGAACCAGGAGGCAAACTCAACCATGGCAGTCGGGGAAGCAAATCTGTGCAGGGAGGCCACATGGAGGGAAAGGGAAGAAGAGGAGGAGGAAGAGGAGGAGGAGAAGGAAGAGGAGGAGAGGACAAACATAGAAGGAGGGAGGGAGGGGAGGGAGGGAGTGAGGAGGAATGATGAGAAGAGGAGGAGGAGGAGGAGGAGGAGGAGGAGGAGGAGGAGGAGGAGGAGGAGGAGGAGGAGGAGGAGGAGGAGGAGGAGGAGAGAGGAAAGAAGGAAGGAAGGAGTGATGAATGTATTCGTGAATTAATCATTTTTTAAAATCCTATATCGGGCTGGCCTCCGGCCAGTGCCGCCGATCCGGGGGGGGCTCCGGAAATGGAGTTTTCTCTACCCCCCTGTCCCCCGGGTACCGAAAAACATCGGAAATGACGTCGGAAATATCCCCGTGTACCGAAAAACGTCGGAAATGACGCAGGAAATATCGTGCCCCCCCCCCCCCCCTCCAGAGCGAAGCTTGAACGAGCTCAAGTCCGCGCTCTCAGAAACTCACATAAACTCACACGCCAGATCGGCGGATTTTTTAAATGCTATGTATTAAAAACTGCCCTGTAGGTGAGCAGACACCCAGCCGCGGAGGGGCCGCTGGTGACCTCGTGCGACCGCGGCGGGACCGAGCGCCCAGCCTTGGCAGCCGCCGCCGCGGTCGCTGGAGCGGTTCTCGGGGATGCAGCGGGGCGTGGCGGAGTGACCGCGCAGCCGAGCAGCTGCGGATGCACTCGCGAAGGCGGATGCGGCGGTCCTGCTCCCAATTCCCGTTTTCCGTCGCCGAATGAAAGGGGCGCGAAGATGGCCGCGCCTGGCGCCCGCCGCTCCGCGGGGCACGAGGGTGGGTGAGCCAGGCGCTGGCAGTAATAACGACGACGACGACGACGACGACGACGACGATGATGATGACCCCCTCCTATGCATGAACTCATCGTTGTTTTTAATATTAATTCCGTGCATTTTTAATGCATGATCCGCACGCGGAGCATGTATTTAAAACGGCACTGTAGCTCCTGGTCCCGAGCCGCGAAGGCGGTGGAGGCACCAGGGTCACGCCTCCTTCTCCTCTCTGGCCTCGCCCCCGAAGGCGGCGCTGGATGGTCTGGGAGCTCGCCCCCGTCGATGCTCCATGGGGCGGATGCGATGCAGGACCGCGAGCGCGGCTCGGAGCCCCGGGGGCTCCACTGCGCACGCGTCGCTGCCCGAGGAATCCCGCGCAACCCCACTGCTGGTCAGAGTCGGGATATCCTTGTCGACTGCGTTGTTGCTGGCGTTGCCCATGAGTCCTCCTGGCTGCACCTGGAGGCGGACCCTGCCGCGCGCGCGCCCCCGTTCACCGTCGCCCCAAGAGTGGACCGGCTTGTGGCCCAGGCCAACGTCCGTGAGCCTGCTGTCGCCCTGCCGCTTCAGGTAGACCTGGGCGGCGGCGTCCACGGCCTGCACGCCGCCCACAGAGTCGGTGCAGCCGAAGTCGCCAATGCCCAGGCCACGCTCCATCGTGGTCCGGTAGAAGGGGGCACTCTCTTCCATCTCTATGATGATCTTCGTCTTGTCCACATCGCGCTCAGCCACTAGCGCCGCAATCAAGCCTCCGAGGACCTTCTCGTCCTTCTCGGCAACGTTCGCACCACTGAGCCTCTTGACATACTTATCCGGGCACTGGAACGTCTGGTGAGCCTTCGAGCCGCACCTTACGCGCCCGCGAGATGCTTGGTTCCGCGGAGGCTGGACCTTCCCTTGTGCTCCGGGTTCCCTCTGCATGGGGCGCTGCGAGCCTGGTGGGAACGGGGATACTGACCGCCTCTCCTTTTCCCACGGAGCCTCTTCTACCAGGTCTGTAGAATCCACGACTCGCACGCGCATCAGCTTGTTCGTATGCGTCCCGAGCCTGCCTCAAGGTCCGCTGCGCGTTCATCATGGCGGAGAGCGCCTCGGCCTCCTCCTGCTGGGCCACCGGGTAAGCTTCATACTTCTCCTCATCGGGATCTAGGTGCTCGTACTCCTCCTCCTGCTCGACGTGGCCCATCAGCGACAAGTGTGCCGTCGAGACGTCGCACCAAGTCTTCTCATCGTCGCCAGCGCCCTGCGCTACGAATGCCTTCTTGGTGTTCGTGTCCCGGTCGCGGAGGTCATCCTCCTCCCAGCTGGTGATCAGGGAAGTCCTCACGGCTTCATACTCGAGGCAACCGCCAGTCGACGCTGTGATCGCAGCCCCATCCCTGGAGTCTAAACCTGCCGGCGCGAGGACTAGCAATCCACGCGCCAAGCCTGGGAACAGTTCTGGCAAGTCCTCATACTCGTCGTCCGATGGTGGGTCGTCGTTCGCTGCCGTCTCACGGCTGGTGCCCAATGGCCCCTCGGGATGGTTCTCATCTTCCCATGCCCACGACCATTCTCCGTCCTCCTCTTCAGGTTCGATCAGCCGCCAGCGCTGGCGGTATGGTGTGGTCGACCTATCCGTCTTCGTCGTCTCCAAGGCCCGTGCCAGAGCCTTGCGTAGGTACTGGTAGCCCAACTCGAACCTGTCGGTCGACTGATATGTAGCCTCACCTTTTCGACGTCTCGTCTTGACCAAAAACGTCTCGAAATCTGCGCCCACGTCTGGCACTGGCATCCGGCTGCACTTCTTCTCCTCTTAATGCATCAATAATTTGTGCACTCCATCTGCCCTGCTCAGCCACCCTGGACGGTACCTCTCCACTGCGGTCTCTGGTCGCCCCGACAGCTGACCTTCGAGATGTGGGCTGCAGACTTATCGGTCCTGCCACTTGGTGGTCTCGAAGTAGTTCAGTGCTCTTCGTCTGTAGGCACGCCACGTTTTAGGATCGCCGTTCCAGGATGGAACGCGACCCTTCTTCTTCTCCTCTTCAGCCATCGTGAGCTCACTGCGGCCGCGTGGAGCCACGCGGCTCCGCTTCCGTGTAGATATACTCGCGGTAGTCCTCGCCAGAGGTGTACGTATTGGGCTCAACTTCTGGTCGTCTGCTCTCACGATGTCTCCAACCCACTCCTTTTCTCAATCTATGTCTATACTCTGCACCGGCCGCCTTGTGCGGCGCCTCTGAAACTACGCGTGCCGGCGCAGCTGAGGGAAGCCACTCCCTTCGAGCCAAAACAGTCGCGGATGCACAAGCTTGCTATGCCAACCTCAACTCACCAACTGCATGGGGGGGTCCTGGGGAGCAGGGGAGGGGGTCGAGGGGGGTCCCGGGGGGAGGTCCCGGGTCAGAATGCCATTCCCCCTGGGGGAAGGCCCGGGACCCCAAGAACTTCCAGACGGGCAAAGGATGCCCCTAGAGGCTTCCACGACGGTCCAAGAGGGCCGCGAATCGCCGAATTATCCATCCCAGACGCCACAGGTGGCCTCCAGACGGTCCATGACACCTCCCAGACGCTCCACTAGGCCTCCAAGAGCACTCCGAAAAGGGCCCCACCATGCACAAATCATTATTTCCCATCATGTTTTTGACAGATTGGGGTGTTCTCGCCCTCTCGGCTTCCCCACGCTCCAAGACGGCCCCAGGGACCTCCACTATCGCGCCAAGAGCGACCCACGATAGGCCCCAGAAGTCTACAAGAGGGGCCCGAATCGACCCCAAAGGGCCCCCAGGCAGCCCAAGAGGCCTCCAACGCGGCCCAACAGGCCACCAAGACGGCTCCCAGAGCGTGCCCGCACAGGGGACTCGAACGGAGCTGTGGAGCCTTCGGCCCCAGAGCCTCCCAGGAGGCCCCAAGAGATCCCAAGAGGCCCCCCAAGAGGCCCCCCAAAGGCACCCAAGAAGACCCAAGAGGTCCTCAGGAGGCTCCCAGGAGACCCCCAAGAGGCTCTGGAAGACCCGCTACCCCCCCACCCCCCTCGTCCACCTGTTCCCCATCTCCATGTCTCGCATACAGGGTCGGCGGCGCCGGCCGTAGGACCTTCACAATAGAGACGACGCCACGCACACTAAATTTCAACGACATCACCTTCGGCACAACCACGTTACCAGAAGTGCCGGCTACACCCGCTGTCGATGCAGACACCTTGCAGTCAACTGGGCCGCAATCGCATTGGCTTCAACAACCTTCCGATCACCTTCGGTGCAATCATTTTTGGGACACTTATCTTACAAGCCATCTTCAATGCAATCATACACGAAACAGTCGACCGTAAGTCTCTTGCGGCGGAGTCACTCTCGGCACGCTCGGCCTGCAACCACCTGGACATCCATACTTGCCTCAGCCTCTGCTGGCACCATCGCCCGACAGTGGCACCCAAGACGTCTGCAACAGTGCGCTGCATGTAAGGGTGTGGGTCCTCCCCCTCCTCCTCCTCCTCCTCCTCGTTCCCTCTGGAGACGGGGATCCTCCACGTCGCTGCTCCCCTGCGAACATGTGGGTCCTCCCCTCTCAACCTCCTCGTCCCCTGGGAGGGGAGGGCGGGAGAGGAGCACCTCGCCGCGCGGACTTGTCAGACGCATGCGACATCCGATCAACCCTTGCCGTGGATCAGCGCGCGCCGCCGGAGCACGTCCTCGCGAGACCGCGGCGGCGGGGCCGCGGGCAACATCACCGCGAACCGGACGGGAGGAGGGCCGAGCGGCACAACGAGGGGGCACGCCCCCTCTCGCAGACGGCGCAGCGGCGGGCAAGGAGAGGCGCAGGGCACCGTGGGAATTTCGGTCCCACCGTGGAGAGCGCGCCTGGAACACGCAACGGCTGGACGGGGGGAAGATCCAGGACGAAAGTGACACCACCACGACCAGTCGCAACACCATCGCCACCGTCACTGCCGCTGCTACTGCCACTGCTGCTGCCGCTGCCAATGCCACTGGCGCTACTGCAATTTCACTGCCGCTGCCAATGTGAACTGCCGCAGCTAGGGAGCCCCAAAAGGACGTACCCGCCCAACCACGTATATGAATACGGCCCCCCAGTCCGCGAGACCAGCCACGTGATACTAACGCGCGCGCAATGCGTACTCTCGACACCCAAATGGATTCATGTACGTCCTTTTTGCGCCCATGGAATGCTATGCTACTACGACTGCCATTGCCATTGCTACAACTACCTCGACTACTACCACTACCACCACTCCAAAGCTAGCAGTACATCTACTACCACTAGCTCCGATATTGATACAAAAGCCGCCGCTACCACTAACACAATAAGTACCGCAAGCGCCATTCACACTACCACTACTACTGCAACGCTGATAACGACCACGCCTATCTCTACCACTCAGGGCGTAACTACCACGGCGACCGCTAAAATCGCATCCGCTACTGCCACTGCTTTTGATGGTGCTACGATATCCACTGACGGCTGAGACTACGACTGCTGCTACGACCGCGATGGATACTGTCACTGCTGCGACTGCGGCTTCGAATCATTATCTTCTTCTTCTCTTGCTAAGTTCTCTTCTTCATAATATGATTATTATTAGTAGTATTACTATTCTTGTTATTACTATTTCTACTACCACTACTATTACTAGTACTACCACTCCTACTGCTACTACTACTACTACTACTACTACTACC